TGTGTGTGTGTGTGTGTGTGTGTGTGTGTGTGTGTGTGTGTGTGTGTACATGTTTGGTTTACTGGAGCTCAAACCCAAGCCTCATGCATATTTAGGCAAGCCCCCTATGCTTAAGCTATATCTTTAGCTCACTATTTTTTTAGAACTCAGGGTCTTGTTAAGTTGCTCAGGCTAGCCTTAAACACTAGCTTTGAACTCAATTTATAGCTCAGTCATGCCCTGAGTTTGTCACCTTCCTGCCTGGGCCCTGAAAGTAGCTGGGATTATAGGCCTGTGCTACCAGCCTAAACTAAGATCAAACTTTTGAAGCTAATTTGTCAGTGGGAAAAAACAAAAACAAAACCTCTTCCTTTTTGTATGTTTATTTTTCCTTTCCTTCCTCCTTTGATCTTGTATATATACAGTCTTGCTGTATAGCCATGGCTGGCCCTTAACTCATGGCAATCCTCCTGCCTCATATTCCCAAGTGCTGAGGTTTAAGTGTGCTCTGCAGGTTTCTTACAGGAAGGATTGAAAGGTAAAATAATTCTTCCTTCAGAAATGCTTCCTTGCTTCGCTCCTTTTGTACTAACTTTGCCCTTTTCCCAAGCTTATGAGGACTGAGAATAATTTTAACAAGGAAGTTATGAAGCATCTTTTGGCATCTAACTAAAGCTCTACTTGAAATACGAGTTTGTTGCATTCTGGCTCGCTGAGAGCAGGATTATCAAGTTTGCAGGTTTGTATTTGCTACCTTTCAGCTTTTCTTTCTTTCTGCACCTTCCCAGGCTCTAAGCTCTGCTGTCACTCCATGGTGAACTCCATCTGTTTACTTAGCTAGAAGTCAGAAACTCACCCCCCCAGGGATGAAATGGTAATAATGGTATTGCGTACATTAAACCTCTGGAGTGACACTGTCTCGGGGTTCTTACAGGAAATGATTGAGGAAAGGAAGAAATTATCAATGTGATGGCAAGTCAGGGTGGGGTTGATTGGTTGAAACATCATCGGTACTTCACACAGAGAGAGGTGGCTGGGAGTTTTGACCAGATGTGTGCAGACTGACGGGAGGTAGGTGAGGGGTCACTCAGAACACAGGGCCCTGTAGCTCATACTCCCGCTGCTTTCCTTGCTATTGAGATGCTCAGTCTATTGGTCATGTAGAAGGGCTGCAGGAGGGTGGAAGTGCTGTCAGTCCAGCTGATGCTGCTTTTCCACCTTGGAGGACAAAGCCCCAGCTCCTATGTGGGGAAGGATGCAAAACAAAACAACAACAAAACAACAGGACCCCTGAACACTGCATGTTAGGTGAGGGTGATGCTGTCATGGGAGGTATGTAAAATGGTATTTGGGAGAGAAAAGGAGCCAAAGCAGAAAGCATACAACTCAGAATTTCTGGTATAGCTGTTAACCAAGAAGCTGAACTGCCATGTGGGTTGTGGCCCCCTGTGTTGAAAATACTGTAAGGCAAAAATGCATTTCACACTCCTAAGTCACAGGGCATTCCTAGGTGGGTTGCTCAGAGCATCCTCTGCAGAGAGTCCACATTTCTCCTCACGACTGAGAGCAGCCATTGCTGACAGAGCTCGGGCTCAAAAGAGAGCTGTGACGATCGGAAGTCAGAATCAAGGATAACATTCCTCCTGAATGTGTTTTCATGTCATTGCGAAGTTGAAATCTCCTAATCAAATTACTAGTACATCTGTACTCAGATATTAAACTCCTATCATTTAACTCCAAAGTGAGACAAACTTCAAATTACTAACGTGGCTTCTTGTTCAGCTAAACAGCTTGCATTGAGAGTGTCCACAATGAAAAGCCAGGTATTATGCAGAATCCAACATGGAATGAAACCCAGGCCTTGTTCCCAGAAAGCTTTCAGACTAATAGGAAATTAACCAGCAGACACAGTGTGAAAAATGTCAAGGTGGAGTTGCCCACAGGCAACAGTACTTGCATATAAAGACAGATGGTAAAACTTGTGAAAGCTTTGAAAAGCTGAAGCAGTGGCCCAGTGCCCAGTGGCCCAGTAGGGGTAAGGGTGATGTGAGAAAAGCCTAAACCAGGAAGGAGAGGAGGACCGTGTGTGTGTGTGTGTGTGTGTGTGTGTGTGTGTGCGCGCGCGCATATGTACAAATGAATGACTCTATCATGGTTCATAAACTCATCAAGGATGTACCTGTCCTGAAACATACCCAGAATGGATCCTGGAGGGCAGGATCAAGGGGGATTGAGCCTGGGCCAAAGTGTGGATGGATTTGTATCTACACCAAGGATTGTAAGATTTATACAAGTAGCTCTAGCGAGCCTCTAGAAGGCTTTAAGTAGGGGCACAATAGGGGCAACTTGTCAGTTTGAAAACCTGTCAGCACAGACAATGGGATAGGGGGGCGAAGCTGGCCAATGAAGAAACTATTGTAGAAACTTGGGAGTAGCTGTCTGACAAATGAGTGAAGGCTTTGGGAATGAAACAAAAGGGAGGTGGCAGCCATAGCTCCAAGTTCCCTCCTCTGGGTACCTGAGGATAGAAGAGTCATTCATTGTCATCGGAAAACAGAAAAGAAACAAACAGATCTGTTCAGACCCCGTCGAGCATGAGAAACCAGGTGGAATGTTCAGCACTGGGTGAGTACACAAAGTCTGAACTTGCAGGAAGGACTTGATGCAGATTAGAGAATCGAGAGCAGGTGGGCAGAGACGGAGAGCGTGGGACTGCGCTGTTGCTTGACAAACAGGCAAGGGCAGACAGACTTTATCTGTATTCAGAACACACACACACACACAGAGAGAGAGAGAGAGAGAGAGAGAGAGAGAGAGAGGCAACAGGAAACCAAGAAGGGTTGCTCAGAGAGGTGGGAGAAATATCAGAGGAGTAACCAGCCTGTGACACTAGAAATCACTTGATTCGATGTGTGGGTTTTCCCAGTGTGTATCTCACTCCATATGGAAATAGCATCAAGTTTTTCAAGCCATCTGGGCACCACAGATAGGTAAATGTTGATGAACCAAAATGCTTTAGGACCGGGGAACTCTGGTTAACTTAACTTTGGTTTTCAAATTACTAGTTGGGGCTTCGTTTCTCCCCTGATCTCTGGTTGTCAACACCTGTTGCTCACCTTTCTATTGGTTCAACTTTACATTTTCTTTGGCTTTGCCCTGATTTTCTTTTCCAAATCCACCCACATTCTCTCCCAGTTGCCTAGTGACAACTTGGTAATCCATTTCCCCAGGTAACCATTTCCCATGTGCGATAATTTCCCAATTATCGTGCCTGTGTAACAGACAGCCCCACGTTAGTGACTTTGAACAACAATGCTTGACCTAGTGACACACCCCTGTAATTCTAGCACCTAGGAGGATGAGGCAGGAGGATCATGAGTTCAAGGCCCTTCTGGGCTACCTAGGGAGACCCTGTCTCAAAAAGAAGCAAGAAAATTCTAGTTATTTTCCTTACAATAGTGACAGGGTGAAGAAAGTCCAATTGTTCCATTAGCATTAGCAAAGATGTCTTCAGAGGTTGGTAACAAGCCACCGGGGATCCTCTGGCTTTTCTCACCATCCTTCGTCTTCTCTGCATCCAGGGCTCTGTATCTTTGAATAACCAGACTTCTGTAGTTCACTTCGTGGCTCCTAAAGTACATCTTTGAGAGAGGGGAGAAGGGAGTGAGATGGGAAAGAGAGGGAGAGGAAGAGAAGGGAAGAAGGAACACACAGAGGAAAAGAAGGACAAAAAGACTACACCAGGGTGACCATGGTTATGACAGATAACCTCTGAAGTCACATGGCTTTGTGGACACCCCATTTCATTTGTCAGGACAACTTCAAAGTTGTCCCAGGCTTTAGGGGAAGAGTGCCAAAGTCACATCCTCAGAGGAGCATTGGCTGAGCTCTGATGTTTACTTGGCCATATTAGATCAGCATCATCTCCCGGAGCAGCCCCACTCCTACATCTTAGGAGGATGTCTCTCTATAGAAACCATCCTCTCCTCCATCAGTGCTCACTCATTATATTCTTCCCCCCCCCACACACACAGAAATATGCTCAAGGCTCTTGAGGAGGAAGGGATCCAGTCCAAGTCTTTCTAATTAATTTATTTGCTACAGCTTATCCCAAGGATGATCACACGGAATACCTATTCAGTAATTTCTCAGTGTGGTTGAACAGGTTTAGGCTTGGCAGGTTGTGGAACGGGGCACGCTTGGCTGGGAGGCTCCCAGGGAAGCTTCTCAATGTTGACTGAATATTCTCATTCAGTAGGTGAGGAGCAATCTCTCTGTGAGGAATAACACAGATTTTCTCAGGCCATGCCGTGCAAGCTGCAATTTAAAGAATACACTTAGGATATGAATTTAGTTTAATATGGCAGTTTGCTGTTCACTTTCGTCCTGAAAACGGAATTCTAAAGAAGAGCTTAGTGCTTGTAGAGACAGACTCAAGTGTTCTAATAGAGTGGCTATGTCTGTGGGTTTCTGAGAGCGACCATAGTTTCCCAAGTAAATGGCTGAAATAGTCAATGCATTTTGCAAAAATAACTCAAAAGTCTGGGCTATTGAACTTCTTCTTTGAAGGCTCTGCACGTGCATCTTTTTGATTATTTTCTGTTTTGTGTTTTGCAGAGAATGGCTCTGAAGATATTGATATACTCCCCAGTGGGCTGGCTTTTATCTCGACTGTGAGTACTTGCCAACTGCTCTGATGCTCACATCAATTGCTGTGTGGACAGTGCATTAAAGTTTCCAGCTTGAGGTGCCAGATGGACCCCTACATGTCCGTCCCACCTCTGGGTAGACCAGTCAACTACAAAAGCCAACCTGCAATCTGGAGGGCTAATTAGAACACCGCAGGCACCCCTCACACTGGCTGCCTCTCACGAGCAGCTCCCCGTGGTCATCTGCATGCTCGGCTAGGGTCTCCATCAATGTCTATTGATGTCCATTTGGCCCTCAGGCTGGTCTCCAGATCTGTCTTGTTGCTTCCCAGCTCCATCACTGCCTTATTGGATGGTACTTGCGTGGCTCGTAGTCTTCTCACTAGCCAATATTCTTGCCATGCCTGCTTACGTGTGGAACTCTGTAAATGCTAATGAGTTTCAAATCAATAGTTGAGCTCCTCGCTATTCCTTCAGTGTGTTCCCACGAGTAGAGATAAAACTGTATTTGGTTCTCCGGACTACCTTGACAAGTCTTAAATGACCATGAAGTTATGTTAACAACGTCCCCCATCAGTAAACAAAAGAACAATGTGTTTATTCCATGTTGAAGACAGTTTTGCTTCTATCAAGACAATAGTGTGCTATTGGAATAGGGCCTGAGATTTGTTGGTTTTGTTTTTGTGGTGTGTTTTTTAGAAACTGATACCAGGAATGTGTGCATTTCAGTCAGGAACTCTACCACCTAGCTAAGTCCAGAGCTTGGGGTCCAACAGTTTGAAAAAGTAGATTTATCATATTTCAGAATTACTGTTATTATTTTGTTGCGGTTGTTGTTGCTAGAATTGCATGTGAAATATTCTGTTTTTTTTTTTCCCATGCCACTAACATACATGAGTTTTCAGTCTATATGTTTTTGGCTCGAAGCAAGGCATCCTATTAGGAAGCCTGATCTGAATTTCCAGGTTCTTAAGTATGCAGAGTACAGTACAGAGGTCTCTCAGCTGAATTTTAAATGGTGGGAAGCAAGGTTGTCTTTCTTTACTTTTCCATCAAACTCAAAGATAAAACAAAACTGTCTGGAAAAGTCTCTTTTTCCTTGACCTCAATTTTCTGTTGTCAAGTTTGATTTTCGGGGCTATGCCAAACAGACCTGCGAAAGCGATTATTCTGTACAGTCAGGAAATGTCATTCCTTTTAGGAAGTGTCTGTTGTTCCTGCTGCATGCCACCGCTGGCAGCAGAGGCTCATTTATAGCTAAAAGGGAAGGAAACATTCTCATCCCAGGTGCTGTGTGAGATGTAAGCATTCCCTCTCTTTTCATCCTGTGTACACTTAGCAACTCCTACGTGGAGCTTAGGACCATGCTCTTTGCCCCGTTTCTAATCTTCACCCTTTCGTTGTCTTGTTCTCCTTGGCCTCTCCTGTGACCTTCTTGCCTCCCTGGACAACATTCAAGAGCTGCAGATTCAGTATGGGGGATTCTATGCAAATAGATACCCTTAGCCTTTGTAAAGTGACAAAGAGGATCCTCCCCCCCCCCCCCCCCCCCCCCTGAGATTTGGCATGCTTCTTGCCTACAAGATTTCTCCCATCCTCCCACTTTGCCAGTTAACTTGTATTCTCAGCAAAGCGTCCCCGTGGAGGTACTCAGATTCCCCAGCAAGCCTCCTCTGGTTCTGTTGTGAGATATGGATGGGCTGTCATAGGTACCACCCTTTCCTGATATGTTCTTGTTCTAACATCATGTGACTTTAAGCTCCATGAATTGGAGACTTGGATGTGTTCATTATCGGTCCAGGCAGCCAGCACAATACTGAACATATGAAATCTGAGGATGAGTGGGGACTGTGGAGGGTTTCAATGAATATACATAAACACCTGCAAATATATGTATATAAAAATATATACATATATTTATATAATATAAATATATATAGGGGAAAATCAGAAGCTTGCACCTCAAAGTGACTGTCACTACTTCCAGTGATGAGTGGCATAAATGGAATTACATACTGTTATTGGCAGCCAGTAGGATTATTGTCACCAATTCTAACCCAACAGAATGCCATGAACAGAAACCTAAACCTTTTCCCAAAAGTCTTTCCTTAGCACTTTCTCTCTAAGCTCAGTTGCAGTGCTCTTGCTTCTGTCAAATCTTGCTCTGTATTTAGAACTTCCGGTTTCTTTGTTTGAATGGCAGTGTCCTCATCTGTCTCCAGGACACCAAGGTGCCGGTAGAGATGTGCAGCCTTGAGACACATGCACACCTTTTTTTTTTTTTTCTTTTTCTTTTTTAATGGCGTGTGTGGCTCAAGGCAGCACACAGACCTATTTATGGTGTGGGAGTAGGAGGCTGTTTAATGAATGATTCATGCAAATGGCTACATGTCCCTAATATTTTCTCCTTTAGTATTGCTATTCTTGGAGCCAAAGACCTTACTGACAGATTAGCTGTAGAGAGAGGAACCGAGAACTGATTTTTATAGCCTTGAGAAGAATAAGTATGCACTAGATGGAGGGTCTAGATGGACAAAGTTTGACTTGTTTTGACAAGTTTACATGAAGCTGACCTGAGGAGGAGATGGGAAAGGTGAGCGACAGCACCAGAGGTTGTGTGTAAGCATGCTTATGTGAGGATCACTGGGGCACATGAAATAACCAAAGTTGTATGAATGAAAGCTGCAAGGAAAGAGCACCAGGGAGGAAAGGGGTATGAGGACAGAAGGGAGAAAAATCCAAGAGGCAGGAAGAGATACAGACATTCTACCTTGGAACTCTACTTCTGACTTCTTGACATGAAGGAAGGAGGCACAGAACGGTGTCCAGGGCTGCAGAGCTGTACCCAGAGAAAGTGCTGTCGAGGAAGGCACTTTGACATGTGTGTTCACGAAATCCCAGAGGTAGACTGTTGAGTCCAGAGAAAGGAGAGTTGGAGTATATCAGGTAATGAGGTGGGGTGATGTTTCTGAGAAACTTCAGGTGAACCAAAAAGATAAACACATACAGGAAGTAAAGTTAGGGAAATATCTATTTTGAGGAATGAGAAAAAGGAGCCAAATTCCAAGCTACAGAAAAAAAAGTTATTAGTGAAAAACAAAGAATAAAACAAGATGGGGGGGTTGGTGTGCTGTGGAAGAGGGAATAAGGAAAAGAGGTGAAAGATTTAGTAGAACAGCAGAAGGGTGTCTTATCCTCAAGAAAAGAGGGAGGACAGAAGAACTGAAGGGCCATTCACAGACAGGAGTCAGAGGCAATTTACATTAGTTGCTATAGTGTTTCCAGAGAAGTGGGAAGTAAAGTATAGTTCAGAGTGAAGCACAGTGGGATATAAACTTTATGAGATGAAATGCATTTAGGATATGTGTGTGGAAAATAGAATTGTCTATGACAATGAAAAAGCAATGCAGTGGTCAATGTTGACTGTGAAGATGATGTTGGGACATATGTACTAAGAATTTTTTCAAAATGACTTTAGACGCCCCCCCTCATGTCTTCATAGTCATCATAGCATATGTGATGGTGTCTCCTTGTAGTCTTTAAAATAATATGTTGAGAATTCCATACAATTTATCATATTCACCCTCGCTATTCTCCCTTAATTCTTCCCAGATGAATCCCCTTATCCATACCCCTTCCCAACTTCCCACCTCTTTCTTCATTTTAATAACACACAGAGTTTTCAATTTGTGCTGCCCATATACTCACTGGTGTGGGACCATCATCTCCTGAAGCTTGGTTGACCTACCAGGGGCCATGGTCTTAAGGAAAACTTAAATAAAATGCCCCATCCCAATCCCAGTTGTCTCTGTAGACTGAGTGCAGGTGGGGATGGAAATAGGAGGAATCAGGTGTGGATAGATGGAGGATGTCCTCCTTAGTAAGAGATTGGCTGGACAAAGAAAGGACAGAGAAAGGATCCATTATAGAAGCAAATGGTACAGCCTCTTTAGAGAGGTTCTTTACTTGGGGAGAGAGGATGTGGCTCAGAAACAGAATCTGAGAGTCAGGCTCAGCCCATCCCTCCTTCAGGGGAAAATTAAAGAATGAATGGCACTTCCTCTGATGGCATCAGCAACCTCTTCCCAACAGCACCGAGGTAAAAGGTTTGGAAGAGGAGGATTTTAAGAAAACCTTGAAGAAGGCTGGAGAGATGGCTTAGCTTTAAGATCACTCAGTGCTTTTTACAGAGAGCCTGGTACAGTGCTCAGTGCCAGCACAACAGCTCCCATTTCTCTAATACTTTCATGATATTCTGTACTCTCTTCTGATCTCCAAGGCCATCAGGCTCCCTGTGGGAGCCATGCATGCATGCATGCACTCAAACACTCATATACATAAAATAGGAATGAATAGATCTTAAAAAAAAAAAACTTGAAGATGTGGACAGGGATGTACAGAGATTATTGACCATCCCAAAGTGAGGGGGCAATGGAAGGGCCAAAAAGTATATGCATTTGCAAGGGTAAGAGCAAAAAGAGACCCAGGGATAGACAGCAGAGTAGTAAGGAGAAAATTTAGATCAGCTATAGAGGAGGAAGAAAAAGCTGGTCTATTTTGAGTTAATCAGGAGCGATGGGGAAGAGACGTGAGAATGAAATATCAGTGTACTACTTGGTATAGAATAAACCAACCTCAAGGTTTGACACAGTGATCGAGGGTGTGTTGAAGGTTCGTACCTTGTGGATGTCTGTTTTTGACTGATAAAAATGTGGTCCCGTTGGTAAAAGGGGTCACTGTCCAAAGTACTAGAATGAACTTTTTGTACTCTTTGGAGTAATGGTTCAAGTTAGAACATTCAGATATGCCTATAGGACAAAATATGTCAGAAATCTTTATGATGCTCACAGCCTGTGCCAACTTGTGGCTGATCCTGTTTGTGACAACATAACCAGTGTGGGAATAAGAACAATAGGATTTAAACCACACATCCCTTCTCTATGCTTTGGAAAAGGAAACTATTGTGTATCAAGGTTGGAAAGAATCTTAGCCATCATAAGTTTTAGTTGCTTCATTTTATAGACGAGCACCCCAAGGCCTAGGCAGACCAAAGGCCTCTAAAAAAGTAACACAGCTTGTTTCCTGCCATTGCATTCTGTGGCTTAATTCTTTCTAAATTAAAACTGCCTTCTTATCTCAAACATATTCCTGTATCCACAGCTAAGGAATGACATTGCTGACCACCTCTGCTCACCATATCAGATAATGGCTGCAGCTGACAGAGTGAAAAATCCCCCAGATCAAAATGAAATGCAGAACCTGGAACATTTTTGTTTGGTTTTGAGATTTTGGCTTCTGTATGAAAATGTCATTTAAATATGCATGTGTGTATAGACTGATTCTCTATTTCTAAAGGGATTAAAATATCCAGGCATGCCAAACTTTGCACCAGACAAACCAGGGAGAATCTTCCTGATGGATCTGAATGAGCAAAACCCAAAGGCACAAGAGCTGGAAATCAGTGACGGGTTTGACAAGGAATCACTGAATCCTCATGGGATCAGTACTTTCATTGACAAAGGTAAAGCTCAAATGGCTAAGAGTGAAGGAAATTGGAAGAAAGAGACACCATAGATCCCCTACTGCTCAGGATTCATGCTAAAGGTACAGGGCAGGTGCTATTCCACCAGAGAAATGCATGCAATCTTGACCAAAAAATGTTAATGTACACAGGAAACATTTTTAAACATTGCTCTAAAAAAGGAAGGCTTCGCTGAGGGCCCTTAGTGGTTTCCTTCTACACACTTTCCTCCTTATTTGACTACCATAACCTGTTTGAATACTGTTCTAAGAAATCAAACATATAAACAAAAGGCCTTCTGAAATAATATAATACTCAAAAATCATACCATAAGAGGGAAAAGAGATAAGTTTCAATCATGGAAATTGAAACCCTGACCTTGTACCTAAAAATACTGCAAAGAAAGTGAAAAGAAATGCCCAAGGAATGCTACAAAATAATATGCCTGATTCAGATCTTGTTCCCAGACTGTACACACGAGTCTTACAGCTCATCTTGGTAACTGTTTTATTACTGTGAAGAGACACCATGACCCAAGCAAGCTGGGGAAGAAAGGGTTCATTTGGTGTAAACTTTCATATCGTTGTTCATCACTGAAGGAAGTCAGAGCAGAAACTCAAGCAAGGCAGGAACCTAAAGGCAGGAGCTAATGCAGACACCATGGAGGAGTGCTGCTCATTGGCTTGCTAGTCACTGCTTGCTTAGCCTGCTTTCATATAGAACCCAGGATCACCAGGCCATATATGGCACTACCCACAATGGGCTGGGCCCTCATGCATCAATTACCAACTAAGAAAATGCCCTACAGTTAGATCATATGGAGGCATTGTCTCAATTGGGGTTCCCTCCTTTTCAATGACTCTAGCCTATGTCAAGTTGACCCAAAGCTATCCAGCGCACAACTCAACATCCAAAAGACAAATAACCCATTCTAAACGTGGACAAGTTTCTGAATAGACATTTCTTCTATGAAAGTAAAAAGAAAATGGCCAATAATATATTAAAAGATATTTGACATTTTTAGCCATTTGTGAAATGCAAATCAAGTCAAAACAAGCCATTCCTTTATGTCCATAGGGATGATTATAATAAAAGAGACAAGAGTCTGGGCACAGGGCAGTGGGTAATGGTGCTTGTTCTTTAAACATACACTCTAGTTTGAATCCTCAGCACCCACCTAAAAAGCCAAGTATGGCTGTTTATTCCTGAAACTCCAATATTGAGAGAGGAGACAAGTGAATCCTCAGCATTCACCAATCAGCCAGTTCAGCCAGCACAGCGAGCTTCCAGCCCAGTGAGAGACCCTGTTTCAAAGCAATAAAGCAGAGAGCGATAGAGGATAGAGAGGATAGTGTCCTGCTCTGACCTCCATATCCACTAACGTGCATGTATTACTATAACCCCCCCCCCCCACACACACACACACAAACATGGGCGTGTGCAACAAGGAATAACCAAAGTAAGCCAAAATGTTGAAAGACTGGGCCCCTTTGCTGGTGATATTGTGAAATGGTGCAGCTGCTTTAGGAAACAGTAAGTCAGTTCCAAGTATGGCGTTACCAGGTGACACAGCAGCTCTGCTCTGTGGGCTGTGGTCAGCAGAACTAGAAACTATCCAAGTACTCCTACATGACTGTTCATAGCAGCCCTTTTCCTAGTATCCATGTGCCCACTGACTGATGAGCATGTAACATAATTTATACAATAAAGCACCATTTGTCGATAGAAAGAATGAGCTGGGGGCATATGCTATGACACAGATGTCCTTACAAATGCTATGCTACGTGAGAGAATTCAGTAACTGGGCAGAGGCTGGGGAAAAGGGAAAGTGGAGAAGAATGCCTAAACAGTGAGGGATTTATTTGGGGGCTGCTGCAAATATTCTGAAACCAGATGCATCTCTAGGAATATACTAAAACTCACGTTGCAAGACTGAATTTAATGGCATGTGAATGATATCTCAAGAAACTACCCCAGAAACAAATCATATATTATCCACTCTGAAAATAGCAATCTCTGAAACACTTTGCTTGTTCATAGCCCATAATACCAAACTATTTTAAATGTAATATATTTGTGAGTCCTTTGGACACATGGGAGCCGTTGTATAAAGGGGGTATCTCCCTGCCCTAGCATTCTGTGTTTCTGCTTATTAGTTTTTATTCCTGTTTTCTTCTCTAGATATATTCACCATAGAGTGTATGTAACATCTTCAGTCCTGGGATCTGAGAGTCAAGAACAGTGACTGAGAGAGAATAGGAACTGAGCAGACAAGTGTTCATTGTGCAAGTGAATATGGACTTTGTAGGGTAGGGCAGCTTATATTAACACTTCATTTAATGAGATGGAGAAGCTGGAGTTGAGAGAAATGCAATGCAGAGCTGACTTGACTTCTGTTAGTTAATGGCTGCATCAGAGTTAGAAGCCAGGTGGTTTCACTCAGCCTCTGTCTTTAATCTTGTATTTAATCCCCTACAGCTACACCTTCCTTGCCTGGCACCGTGCTGGCTAACACTCCATGAGAGCTGGCACAATAAAGTAGTCAGATTAACGCAAACTGTTTCACTGAATAGGATGTTAGATTTAGAATTATTGGCAACTGGCTTTCTAAGGTGGGATCAGTTTATGGATTAACTGACAGCGGCAAATTTAGGCTTCCAGAAGTTGAATGTATTATAATTGACAACCTATTTTTTCTACTACACACCTTCCTTAATTAAGGGACATATTCACCATGTAAAAACATTGCACAGAGAACTCTCAGGATAGAGAGGCTATAGAACAAAATTATCTCCACAAAGCATCCATTTCTTCTATGGAAGATCCAGTAGAAGCAAAAGGATGGATTAAACCAGGGCAGAATTAGCGATTACCATACTGCATTCCAAAAGAATCTGTTTAGAGCCTAAAAGCCAACCCATGTTCTGTTGGCAAATGCTGAGCCCTATAACACAGTAAGATCAGAAAAATGAAAGATCCACCTGTCTGGGAGCAGCTCCGCATAATTTGCATTGAACAGCTTAATGCAGGAATCTTGCACGTCAGGACTCAGACCTACTCCATTACGTGTTCGCTAACTACATGAAGGAACTGAATAGGAACACCAAATGAGAGGATGGGACCAGTCCCTCAGAAACTCGGATCTACACCTTCCAATAAGTCAGTAAAGGCCACCGCCTTCAATCCATTCACAGCAGTTTATGTTCTGGAGTGAAAAGAGGTAGGTAGGAACATTCTTGAGTGGGCTATGTCCAGAATTAGCTGCTTTGTTTCCTTTGGCATGCTTACTTTTCGTGTCCACTAAGCTCACTAAATATTGTTACTCAGCCTCAGGTATTTGACTTGTGTTAGAAGTTCATTGTCTAGCTTTCACATGCCCCAAGATTTCTTGAACTTTTGTTGAGATGCAGGCATTTGTGACACACCCCAAAATTTCTCAGTAGAGATTGTTTGCTTTCACTCACTTATTGAAAGGCCATTGTTTACCTATCATTTCAGTTCTCTTTAGAGAGGTGAGCTGGCAAGGCCATGGAGACCTTTGCACAAACACTCATGCCTCGCTCAGTTGCTTGGTGTTGGTAAAATTGCTGGGTTACCCCCTGTTTGAAGTTCAGTTTCTTCAAAAACAGAAGAATCTAACATTGGTGTTAATGGCCTATCTGATGGACATGCAGGATCGACAAAAGAAACCCTTGCACAGTAGTACATGCTTATATAATCCCAACCACTCAGGACTGGAGCCTAGATGTTCAAGATAAACCTTGGAAAATCAAGACCCCATCTCAAGACAAAAGCCAAAGCCTTGGGAGATGGTCAGGTTTTTAAAGAAGTCTAATAATGACTGCAAGAAGCTTACTTAAACATCTTGGAAATGACATCTTCCATTGAAATTATATCTCTCCCTCCCCTCCCACTTAGACAACACTGTGTATCTTTATGTTGTGAATCACCCCCACATGGATTCCACTGTGGAGATATTTAAATTTGAAGAACAACACCGTTCTCTCATCTACCTGAAAACTATAAAACACGAACTTCTCAAGAGGTATGGAATTAGAGCCGGCGCACTTCTATTTATTTCACACCTCTGCTGTGAGCATTGTTTTCTTTGGTTCAGCGGGCATTAGACTTTTGTTTTGTAGCATGTTTTTTTTTTTCTTTCTTTCTTTCTTTCTTTTTCCCCCTAAAGTGTTCTAAAGCTTCTCATGGTGGGACTGCCCAGCACCTCAGTAGAAACTGCTGTGCTTAGTATTGAATGTCTCTGTACTTTCCAACTTTCTGAAAGCTCTTTAATCCTATAAATGTGCTCAATTAGATTCCCAGCTCTAATCCCAACTTCTTTGCCACAGCAACTCAATACCGTGCTCTCTTTAAACACCTACTCTCTCTTCCAGTTGTCTTGGTAGGTTGTATTCTCTGAGCCTCACCCACTGGGCGTTATAACCAACCTCCAGATGGATTATTTCTTTTTGGGGGGGGAGGGAGTATTTCTTTAAAGAAAAATTTAATTTAAAAAAATGTGCACTCATAAAAATCCCCTTCAGTATTGATCTTGTACCAAATGCTGTGTCAAAATACTTTTAACCTAATTTTCAGATAACATTTAGTAATAAACATGAGTAAACAGTATCACAAGAGCTGTGTGTCCGGTTGTCTGAATCAGTGTGTGATTGACCTAGTCGTCGTGTAAACCTCGGTCCATTAAAGCTGGGCTCATCATTTACAATGATCAACATCATTCTTATTGAATTTAGGAAATTAGTGTTTTTAGTGGATAGTCAGTTTCAGGTCTTAAACAATAGAAGTTGTTTTTGTTTGTTTTTCTTCTTATATGAAGTAAGCCCATCACTAGGCTCTGAGGCCACAGCAGATCATAACCTCACAACATTTCTGGGAAATAAAGAAAGGGGATTGTTATGAGTTGAAGTATGTCCTACAAAACTGCAAAACATTTCCCATGCACATGTGGGTCTGGGGAAGAGCAGGTGGGAAGGTCAACTTCAGGGATCATTCCTCAAGTCCCAGCTACCTTGAGTTTTAAGGTTTCTTTTTGACCTGGAACTTGAGTCCTCATGCTTGTAAGATAAGCATTTTACTGACTCAGCTATCTCCCCAGGCCCTATGTGTGGTTTCTTAATGAAAGAATTGGAGAACCAATGAATGACCCGTTGTGCTTTTATAGTAACAAGCAATTTTTCCAAGGGTGTGTACTATGGTGCCTTCTAGGGCCCTAAGGGAGAACAATGGGCCACTATGTCCCTTGGTCCTCAGAACTCATGTTAAAAAAAATGGTTAGGCATGGTAGCATGTGTTTGTAATCTCTGGGGGAAGGCAGATATTTTGGGGGGCTTACTCGTCAACTAGCCTAGCCTAGTTTGGAAGTTCCAGGCCAACAAGAAACCTTAAAAGTCAAGTTGATGGGATTTGAGGAACTATACCTGAAGTTGACCTCTCATATGTTCTCCCCAGACACGCATGTTCATATGTACACAAATATAAAAAAAAAAATAGAAGCCACATATGTATGTTTTCTCTTTTGGTCCAAACAAGTTATATAACACTGTTTAACTTTAAGAATTAAGCCTAATTCTAGAGGAAAAACAAAGATATTATATCTGTCACAGAAAACCATAATTAACATCTGCAAGTCTAGAGCTTGTTAGTATACGTATCCATTTTTTTTAACTTAAAATCATAAATAGCCAAAAGAAAACACATGGAATTAAAATCAGAACATTTTACGGGATCAGTTAATTCATCTTAATTCAACTCCACCATTTAAAACTGGTGAACATGTTGATCTAGGTAGATGCTAGTAGCATCGTCAATAATCAAGAGATTCAAACACCTTGTGGATTTCTCCCTCTTTTTCTTTCCAGTGTGAATGACATCGTGGTTTTTGGGCCAGAGCAGTTCTACGCTACAAGAGATCACTACTTTACCAACTACTTCTTAGTACTTCTGGAGATGATCCTGGACCTTCACTGGAGTTATGTTCTTTTCTACAGCCCAAGAGAGGTCAAAGTAGTGGCCCCAGGATTTAGTTCTGCCAATGGAATCACAATCTCCCTCGACCAGAAGTATGTGCTGTCAAACTGTTTCTGCCCTTTGCCCTCTTGACACTTTGAAAAGCTCCTTGCCTTAACAGCTCCCTCAGGTTCAAGTAGTCCCTATGTGACTTGAGGGCTTAGCTATCCCCACAATTCATACTAAGTGTGTGAGCCTAAAAATCATTTGTTTTCTTGAATTTCAAGTCCCCTTCAGTAAAAGAGAGAGACTCAAAAAGATGGTCCTTGTTCCAAGTTCTTACGTAACTAAATACACTCTTTTCCAACTTTCTTTCTAAAAGCAGGATGGCTTTGCAATATCTCTGTCTTTTATGAGCTCAGAAGGTATTTAGACACATATATAAAGCCAGGTTAACCAAAAGCTCTTATGAGAGAGAGAAGTTTGCTTAAGACATGTGATGGTGTAATTGTCAGACTTATAATAATTCCATGACTGTTTTTAAGAAGCATGAAATTTTACAAGCAAACACCCTTGGCAGATAATTAATCCTTAAAGGCTTTCAAAACAGAGATATACTAGGAATAACACTATGAATACTATTCTATACTTTGAACAGATTTGTGATCATGAGCAGACATAATCCTTGTAGAAAATGCCTTTAGGCTAGATATAGTGGGACATGTCTTTAAACGCCAGAACTTGGGAGGCAGAGGTAGGAGGTTATCTGTGACTTTTAGGCCAGCCTGATCTACATATAGTGAGTGCCAGGACAGCCAAGACTACATAGTGGGACCCTTTCTCAAAAAAACAAAAGCCAGGTGTGGTGGTGCACGCCTTTAATCCCAGCACTCGGGGAGGGGAGGCAGAGGCAGACAGACTGCTTTGAGTGCAAGGCCAGCCTGGTCCACAAAGCAAGTACAGTAAAGCCAAGTCTACAAGAGAAACCCTGTCTCAAAAAACAAACAAACAACAACAACAAAAAGATAAAGAACAGCAGAAATACCTCTAAGCATTCTTCGTGTTTTAAAAGCATGAGTAAGACTTCGTGTTTTAAAAGCATGACCACTCCATAGTTTTCTTAAATTCTAAGTTTGGAAGTATGAACTCTTTATCCTTAGAAGAATGTTTTCATCTCATTTAACTTAAAGAAAAAATGTAACTCCTAGGTAATGAGATTGAGCCTGAATGTCATCTGTAATACTAGTTGTCATTTTAAGCTCACGTTTCACAATAAAAGCCTATAAATTATCTCAATAATATTTAAAATACCATTCCGTTATCTGCTTTTATAACGTTGTGGAGAGGCAGTTAGTGGTACTTCAAACTGGTGGAAAATTTTATATTTGTTCTCCAAAATAAGCCTCAGTGTCATATTTCATTACTACTTGCTTCAATGTATTACTTGACAGGTATGTCTATGTGGCTGACGTTACAGCTAAGAACATGCACGTAATGAAAAAACATGATAATTGGGATTTAACTCAAGTGAAGGTAAGAGTAGCCCCCCCCCCCCCCCAGCCAACCCACACAACACGGCCCTGCCAGTTTCATACTTGACCCAGGAATGTTTTTAAAGAGACATGTCTAATTACACTATAAGAGATCTGGTAGGAGGAGGGAGGGCAGAGAAGAGCACTGAAATAATGTCCTCACTACTTCCTCTTGGTTGAAGGTAATTCACCTGGGCACGTTAGTGGACAACTTGACTGTTGATCCCGCCACGGGAGATATTTTGGCAGGATGCCATCCCAATCCCATGAAGCTATTGGTGTATAACCCTGAGGATCCCCCAGGGTCAGAAGTAAGTACTGATACCTCCATGAACTAACAGGAAAAGCTGCCAGAGTGAAAATTTTGCTGAGGTAATGTTGAGGGGGTTTATATAGGTCACATTTATATTCCAAACTGAACAAAAAATAAATTTAAAAGTAGAGTTATTGGCAGTTTAGGGAGATGAGTTTTCTAGGGTTTTGTAAGCCTCCAGGGGCCAATATAATGTCAATGCCAGACAGCAGGTCCTAACTTCACAAAGGCTTTCTTCACTATTGGGAGTAATGAGGAAAGATGAGCTTGATAATTTCACACTGACGTAGATTGTCCTACCGTGTTACTAGCCAGAAAGCAAGTTCTTAGAGGCTCCTGCAGGGGAGCAGAGAAGGAGACATGCACAGAACCATCTTCATTTGTTGAGCCTGCACAAAGGGTTTAAATGACTTTGGTCTCTGAAGTAGATGAATTTTTGTTCTCGAATTCTAATATATGATCCCAGACGGTTTTATTTTAAAGATTTTAAAGTATATCTTCTTCTAAAGTGAAAGCCATTGAGTTATCTGTAACATTTAAACCAATCACACAAGACACTACATTAAATATGTCATTGAATTTAAAATAATAATTTTGAATGAGGGAGGAGCTACAGCTGGGATACAAAGTGAATAAACTGTAATTAATATAAAAAATAAAATAAAAAAAGAATAGTAATTTTTAAAGTTTCATTGAATTTAACCACAGTCTTTCACACATACTTAGAAAGACTTATTTACTGCCATTTACATTTTGCTAGATATTGTTCTATTGCTTGGGCTATATCAGAAAATAAAACTCACAGAGGCTGGTAAGATAATGAAAACACTTGCCACACAGCCTAATGACCTGAGTTTGATCCTGGGTCTCACCATGGAAGGAGAGCAGCAGCTGATGAGAGTTTTCCTGCAATCTCCACAAGTGCGTGCCTATACTCGGATGCCCATGTGCTCATGGAAACACACATCCTTAGTAAAAAAAAAAAAAAAAAAAAAAAAAAAAAAAAAAAAAGCAATAAAATAAAACTTTAAACAAATATTTTAAAAAACCCATACAAGGCCCCTATTCTTAGGAGACAGAAGAACAGACACTAAATGATAATTAAAAGGAAAATATTGCACAGATGGTACATTGTGTAGGAGAAAGCTTATGATTGCTGTGCCATGGGGTGGGCAGGTCCTGGGCTAGAGAGAGAGAAGAGAATAGAAGACTCGGTTTGAAGAAAGGTGTGACATATTTGGCGAGTTGAGAAACAGATTCACATCTTAGCCTGTTGGTTGCACCAGGAGGGGTCATTTCTACTGAATTATTTTTCTTTGAAATTAACACATCAGTCATGAACTCTTTAAAAGAGCATCAAGACATATTTAAGGCAAAGGTATTGTTGAGATTTTATGAGTGCCAGCTTCCTGGCACTCTCTAGAAGACGTTACGAATAAAAACCACATAATGACCACATCAGTGGCCATGCCAGTGTGGCTGGGGAAACTGTCGCAAAGGCCACCCCTAGGTGAAGAACTACGTCCAAATAATGGCTGCTGAGGAAAGCAGAATCTGTTTCTTCTAGGTATGAGCCTTCTTGTAGGTTATCCAGTCCCAAGTGGTCATCCCTAGACACATGTATGTCAGCACTAACCAGACTCAGCAGGGTACATGTGTGTGTGTGTGTGTGTGTGTGTGTGTGTGTGTGTGTATGCTCATGTAACAAAAAAGGTGAGTGCTCGCATGTAATAAATAGTTAAAGAGGAAGAAGTAATGGATTTGAGAGGGAGTGAGGGCTATGGGTAGAGTCAGGTTCAGGAGAGTGAGGGTAGATATGATGTAAATACTGTATTCATGTAGGAAATTCTCAAAAAATTAAATAAAAATGGGATAGTAAGTTTCAGCAAAATAGATCGATAATTGTGCCCTGTAATTATATACTGGAAATAGGCAGTGAATACAAGCCTTCAATCACACACTTGTTATCTGCCTTTTTATATTTTTATGCCTATTATATGGAGATATCTAAAGCATGACATATATTTATGTAGTTTCACTATTAAGTTTTTACATTTACATTTAATTAAGTAAAAAAACATCAAATGTGAAAGTAATAGACTAGTCCTTTAAACAGTTTTAAAAAAATTATCATTTATTACAATTTATTCAATTTGTATCCCAGCTGTGGCCCCCTCCGTCATCTCCTCCCACTTCCATCCTCCCTCCCTTTTCTCCCCCATGCCCCTCCCCTAGTCCTCTGATAGGGGAGCTCCTCCTCCCCTTCCATCTGACCCTAGCCTAGCAGGTCTCATCAGGACTGGTTGCATTGTCTTTCTCTGTGGCCTGGCAAGGCTGCACCCTTGAGGGGGAGGTGATAAGAGAGCCTGCCACTGAGTTCATGCCAGAGAAAGTCCCTGCTCCCCTTACTAGGGACCCCACATGGAGACTCAGTCTATGGGCTACATCTCAGCCCCGGTTTTAGGTTCTCTCCATGCACTGTCCTTGGTTGGGGTATTATTCTCTTCAGGGCCCCCAGGGCTCAGTTCTTTTGGCTCTGTTGGTCCCTTGTTGGAGCTCTTGTCCACTCCAGGTTTTTCTATCTCCCCCTTCTTCGTAAGGTTCCCTGTACTCTTCCCAAAGATTGGCTATGAGTCTCAGCCTCTGTTTCAATACCTCCATCAGTAGAGTCTTTCAGAGGCTGTCTGTGGTTGGCTCCTGTCCTGTTCCCTGTCTTCTCCTGATTCTGATGTCTATTGCATTTGTCCTTCTGAATGAGGATTGAGCATCTTCCCTAGGGTCCTCCTTGTTGTTTAGTTTCTTTAGGAGTATAGATTTTACTATGTTTATCCTATATTATGTGGCTAATATCCACTTATGAGTTAGTATATACCATGTGTGTCTTTCTGCTTCTGGGTTACGTCACTCAAAATGACCTTTTCTAGTTTCCACCATTTGCCTGAAAATTTCATGATTTCCATGTTTTTAATAGCTGAGTAGTATTCCATTGTATAAATATACCACAATTTCTGTATTTGGGGTCCTCCATGGGACTCCAAAAATTCTACCAGAGAACTCCTTCAGCTGATAAATGCCTTCAACAAAGTGGTTAGATACAAAATTAACTCAAAAAATCAGTATACAAAAGGCAAAAGGGCTTTATACAAAAGGCAAAAGGGCTGAGAAAGAAATTAGGGGAAACAACACCCTTCACAATAGCCACAAATAACATAAACTGCCTTGGGGTGACTCTAACCAAGCATGTGAAAGACCTGTATGAAAAAAACCTTCAAGTTTCTGAAGAAAGAAATTCAAGAAGATATCAGAAGAGGGGAAAGATCTCCAATGCTTATGGATCAGTAGGATTAACATAGTGAAAATGGCCATCTTACCAAAAGCAATCTACAGATTCAATGCAGTTCCCATCAAAATACCAACAATTCTTTACAGAACTTGAAAAAACAATTCTCAATTTCATTTGGAAAAACAAAAAACCTGGAATTGCTAAACCATTTTTTAAGATGTAAGACAACCTGACTAAATGTTTTCAGATAGATACAGCTGTTATTCTACATACTAAAGAAATTTTAGATTCTATCTTGTAGTAATTTAAATAAAAACTATAATGTTTATCCAGTGAATAAAAATCAGGTAGTTAACATCTGTCTTCCTGCAACATGGAAGCTCTCAAGTAGACTTAGAAAAATCTTTTGGACTTTGAGATTCATTTAGTCAACATAATATGACTGTACCCTTTCTTTTTTTTAAATATATATATATATATATATCCCAGAATGCAACCTATACCCAGAATGAGAAGAATCATTAGCCCAGCTAGCCAGCTGCCCATCCATTCCTATGAAGACAGCACTTCCTGAGCCACAGTGTCTGCTTTAAAGGTATCTTAGTTAGGGTTATGATTACTGGGATGAAACACCAAGACGAAAGCAACTTGGAGAGGAAAGGGTTTATTTGGCTCACACTTCCATATTGATGTTCATCATCAAACAAAGTCAGGAGAGGAACTCAAAAAGGGCAGGAACTGGAGGTATTAGCTGATACAGAGGCCATGGAGAAGTGGTGCTTACTGGCTTGCTCATCATGGCTTGCTCAGCTGCTTTCTTACAGAACCCAGGACTACTAGGCCAGGGATGGCACCTTTTGCATTTTTGGGGACCTCCACCATCAATTACTAATTAAGAAAATGCTCTACAGCCAAATCTTACGGAGGCATTTTCTCAACTGTGGTTCCTTTCAGATGACTCTAGCTTGTGTCAATAGTTGACTAAAATTAGCCAGCACAAAGGGAATGCAAATATCACTGTGAAATCATCGAAAACTTATTAAAGGTCTGGTTCTCTGTATTCAAGGTTTAATACTAGTTATTACAGCTAAGACTTTTATTTATCCACAGTTACCACCCTCTCTCTACCCAGTAGGGTCTTGTGCTTTTTGCAAGGGGTCCAAGCTTCAGCATTTTCATGTAACAAACTTCAAACCAAGGTGCTGAAGCTGAAAATCAAAACAAAAATTAAAGGAAAAAAGTAAATAACCATCTGAAGCTTCATTCTGTTGCAAGAGCTCAGTAGAGATAACTGGTGCTCCAATGATTGGTTGTTTTCCTCTGAGTCCTATCTTTGCCCCTCCTACCCTCACTCCCCCACCCCCACCCCCACCCCCACTCTGTGAACTTCATCCAGGCTACTTGGAATCCTGAGAGCTTAAGTGTTTACTGATTAGCAAAGCTGGGTGTGCAAATCCTGGGGATCAATAACAGCCCTAGGCAGCAGTACCTCCATACTTCTGTACTTTCTCTCTGTTTCTCAGCTGCTTCCCAGATACAAGGTCCTTCAGCAGTGGAGACAGCCACCCTCTTGACTACTAGGTTGGGCTAGCTGACTGACTGTCTTTTAGTTATCTTGTCCTAGGATTCTCTCCTCGTTCTGTAGGCTCAGTCAATGGCAGAGACATTTGCAGAGACAATGGCAGAGAACTATTGCCAACTCAGGAGTTAGATAAGTGTGTACAGGACCCAAGTTTCTTTTCTAGGGTTGCCTGCAGAGTCAAACTGCTGAAGAACTCTGCTGAGGAATTTGACTAACATTAATGGCTAGTCTATGTTAGTGCATACATAGATGCTGTTAGGACATTAGTACCTTTCGGATATACTTTAGATTTTTAGCTTATTGGTTTCTGAAAATATGCATTTGTCCCAGAATTCTTGGGAAGGGAAATATCTCTAGGTAGCTTCTCTTGGGCAGTGCGTTAATGAGTGATCTTCTCTTGACAGGTCCTCCGCATCCAGGATGTTTTGTCAGATAACCCCAGGGTGAGCACAATCTATGCGAACAATGGCTCTCTACTTCAGGGCAGCACCGTGGCTTCTGCATATCGTAAGAAAATGCTCATAGGCACTATATTTCACAGATCTCTGTATTGTGAACTCTAGATCTTTCTTTAAAAAAAAAAACTTCATATTTGACAAAAGTAAAATTGTAATTGTATGCTAAATGGAACTGTAATTTTTACAATTACCAGTGAAAATTGGTATGTATGGCTTTCTCATGGAGAAAAGTAAAAGAGTGCAGAAACCTATGTCCATAGAATCAAGAGTCAAGTTAGTGTCAAGGCAGCCAGAAACCTGAGTGCTCCGCTTTGTTGAGCATGCATAACATCCTGTATAGCGTTGATGAATGGGATGTGTAGGCTGTGATAACTTAGGACCCCCGCTCACGTGGATTTGTGCCTGTGGATAACTGTTTGGCAAAAAAAACCTCTTAGAACTGTGATATTCTGAGTCTTCTGCAGTCCATGTCAGTAAAGAAGCTAATTGTAAACTGTTTACGATTCTCGTTCTCTTTTTTTCCTCTTGTGTGAGACACACCATCTTCCAGTCAAGTATCCTGACCTGTAAAACCCTCACCCTGAGACTCTAACACCTGCCTTGAATATGGACTTGCCCCAAAATATAACCATACAGGAAATGGTTTTCTGGAAATTTGACCTACACAAGCCTCATCAGCTTGCTTAGTGCATGCTAAGCTGTTGTATTTACTTGTATAAGACTTTATTTATCCTGACTCCTCTGTTGTGAGTGTCACCAGTCTTTGTGGCTCTGAATATAAGATAGGGCCTTGGGACAGCTATCTTCAGCTATTTCCAGCTTTCTCTACTAGTCACCTCAATAAACACTTAGTGAGCAGCCTCTAGCTGATTGGCACCAATAAATCTAAAACAAATAAAATTATTATGACCGAATGGCATGTCCTAAAGATAAATCTAAACTTAATTTGATGAGAATAAATAAAGACATTTCTTTCTTTATAAACAAAGAAACAACAACAACAAAACTCAATGATTTGAGGTTGATTGCCACCACCCTTACATTCCTACACCTTGGAAGTCAGCTCAAGACACCCCAAGATCAAGTTCTCAGCACAAAGAAGAGTTATTTGCCCCAGAGAGACAGAAGACAGGAATAAAGAACAAAGATAAGAGATAGAGGGAGAAGGAGAAGGGAACGGGGGAGAAGGAGAAAAGGCATAAAAAAAGAGTAAGGGGATGGAACAAAGAAATGTCTTTGAATAGAGAGGAGACAAACGTATCCCATAGACAAATGGCTGTTTCTAAAGGTAAAATGGGAAACCCTGTGTTAGGATGAGGTGTTTAATTTTAATTGGGTGTTTTTAATTAGGTGAGCCAAAGGGGGCTTTTGGTTGCTTGACAGCAATACTTAGATAGTTGGACTTGGTAGTCAGCCTTGGGAGGAAGTGGCCAAATAAATGAATAGAGAAGAGCTAATAGGGACTAGCCCTTGGAGTCTAGCATTAGGACTGCAGTCTAATGGTTTTTTAACAAGGCGAGGGAAATGGGAGAGAAGAGTGAGGCCTGCCAGAGATGTGTCTGTTACACTGGAGCTGGCTAGAGTCCCTTCAGCCCCTTCAACATGGTGTTTCTGGTGACAGGGAATTAAGGAGACCTGTTTATAGTCTAAAGAACACTGCTTAGTTAAAAGTTTGGTAAATAGTTTTGTACCAGGATAAAATGGTACTCTTTTAACCTCTGTAATCATTCCTGATTCAGACCTTAAGATTTTATAACTTCCGTTGCTTCAAGGAAGGAATAGCTCAGCTAAATATTATGCGTAGTTGCCATATTTTAAGTTTCAAAGTACAGCTATATATTGTGCAGAGCTTAGTTGTTACCATGTTACGAGTATTCGGAACTAAATTTAATCCCCAACACCCACATAAAAAAGCTAGGTGTGTCAGTGTATGCTTGTAAACCCAGCACTGGGGAAGTAGATCCCGGGGGCTTATTGGCTGACAGTCTGGCATAGTTGGTATACTTCAGTGCACTGGAAAACCCCTTCTCAAACAACAAAAGGAAGTAAAATATGGATGATGCTTACAGAGCAACACCAGCGGTTGTTTTCTGGCCTTCACACACATATGTAAACAAGCATACACAGCTTCATGCATAAACAATTACAGTTTTGATCTTTAACCTCCACATCTACTGGATTACTTAAGATTTATTATTAATGCTTTACTGAGCAAAAGAAACATAAGTCAAATCCTTGTGGAGTGTGATAGTGAACCCTGTCCTAGAAAACCTAAGACGCCAAAGAGCTGAATACCCAGATGAGGTCAAGGTAAATGTAAGGTGTTGCCACATTCTACTCCCAGAAGACTAAAAGTGCAGTTGCCTTGGCATTGAGAAAAGCAGATGGAAGAGATCAGATGTTGGTGAGAAATGACAATCACATGCTTTGCATCATTCAAGGTTGGAGCTCAGCTTCCCATTGGATGGTCAAAACCGATCTCAAGCCATGAGCCGTTGAGAGTCAAATGGTGGTTATTAGAGACCAAGAGAGTCGGGATTTTCAGGGAATGGAGGACAGATGCTGAGGGGTTAATCATTGAGTAAAGTTACAGGTAGACAGAGTGAAGGAGATTAAGAGGGTTAGTAACCAAAGGGATTACTATAGCTAACAAAATGTCCTTAGTATTTCAGAAATCTAGGTAAAAGGACCTTGAATGTTTTCACTACCTAGAATGGCAAATGTTTGAGGAGATAGATATTTTTACCCTGACTTAAACATTACACAAAAAATAATGTTTTACATAGTAAAGCATACAAGTGTTAAGTTCTAAATTTTTATAGAGCAATAAAAACATCAAGCTATGAGCTCACCTATGCATGTTAGTGAACTATCACTTACCTGGCAGAAACAAACACAGGTCCTCTTGTGACTTTATACTATGTATTAAGAAAACCCTGTAACTGTTTTCCCAAGGAAAATGAGCAGGCATTCATGGAAAATAAAGGGGAAGGGTTATATAAATAAGAACTATAGAAACAGATTACAGAACAAGTAGGCTTACAAAGACCTCATATATCCTGGAACGATGTAACATACAGGCTTGACAACCACACGTACAATGTTAGAGAAATAGAGGACGAGCTGAAACTCACAGGATAGTAAACTATGGAGCCTATTGAAATGACCTAATGACCCTGAAAATACATACCTGGATAAAATAAAACTGGGGAAATTTAAATCTTAACAATAATAACTGATAATAATAAAACCACCTTAGAGTGTAACAGTTTGAAACTGTTCAAATACGTTTTCACAGAGGCTCTCGCAATGTGAGACATATGTTTTCCACTAAATACTTCCGAAGCACTCAAGAGGTCCCCTCTATTGAACAGTGTAGTCAGAGTGACTTCTGAGATACTGAAGCTCCAAGGCAAATGTCCCCACATAGTCATTCAAGGTCCATGACTGAATCTCCCAAAGGCTAGTCATTTGTTTCCTGATGACGTTATACAGACTGCAAGAAAACACAACGTCAAAGCTTGCTAACATAAGGCAATGGATGACTGAGTGAACCATGTGGAGTATAAGCTAGACTCATTTCCAAACTTTTCAGGTCAGTTTTTAGGAAATTCATGGTTTATCAGGTTCTAAGACCAAAAAACAAAACAAAACAAAACAAACAAACAAACAAAACAAAACAGGAAAGGGAGGGGTGAAAAAAGAGGGGGGGAGAGAAGGAGAAAAGGAAAAATTTAATCAGAGATGATACAGAGCTGGATGTGGTAAAAAAGAGGTAGCCCATGAGGGTGTACATGCAACAGAAATGATAAACGTAACAGGGATGGCCATCTAAGAGAGACTGAATAAGTGACTAAGAGGAAGACATCTGAAAAAGACTAAATGGTGGCTAAATTAAGATGATTTAGCTTGTGACAATTTGGAATCTGAGAGGGAAGCGATGAAAAAAAATAATTTGGAAAAAATAAGTTAATCATATTGGAAATTAAAAATACATATCATATCTTGACTAGAAACTGCAGAATGTCAAGTCTAAAGACTTTAGAAAGAGTCAGAGGTGGAAGTTGCTGCACTGTCAAGAAGAAAATATTACTGTGGACAAAATGGAACCCCCAGAAGATAGAATGACTTTTAGAAGTGTTTTGTTTTTCTTTTTAATAGATTTGGTTTTTATTGTTATTTCTGTGTCTGTATGCCAAGTGTGTGTGTGTGTGTGTGTGTGTGTGTGTGTGTGTGTGTGTTTATGTGTGTATGTACCTTCAAAGTCCAAATGAGGGTATTAGATCCATTGGAGCTGGAGTTACAAGAAGTTGTGGACAGTCCTGTGTGGGTGCTCAGAATGGAACTTGGGTCCTCTACTGATTCATTTCTCCAAGATTGACTTGAAAAAACGGTCACCCTGTTTGTAATGAAATCTTTAAATACAGGAAGACTTACAGAACTACAAGGATGAAAACAAATAAATTATCATAATAGAGGACTGATTTTAATTGTATTCATTAGGTATTAACAAACAGAAATTTTAGAAAAATGTGTAAGTAGAATGTGAATATAAACCTTATCCAGGAGAGTTTGTGTAATATCAGTTTGTAGCATGCAACTGAGTGTACCCTTCTTTTCCTAACTCACAAAGAACAGATACAGATGTTGATTCCATACTGGTTAGGCAACAAAAACAATAACATATATTGATTGGTGACAAATCACCTGAATGTGGGCTCAGTTTTCTCAAACTTCTATAAAATAACCTTATTCGGAAGTTACTGAAAATTTATTTAGAAATTAAGTAGCATTCCCAAAAAACCCATTGACCAACGAACTTTTAGAACAGAATATTAGTGACAATGATTTTAGAATGTGATTTGAGATGAGCGCAGTGACATATCCCTGCAATCTTTACATGGAAGGGATGGAAATAAGTTTGTAAGTCTAACACTTGCCTGGGCTACACAGTGGGATCATGTGTAAAACGTTATTTTAATGAAACAATAAAAATTTCCCACAATTAAGTCTTACAAAAAGCAAGTGAAATTAAACTTTGGTGACGCTTAAACTCTTTCATTATAGAACAGAAGTCCAATAACAAAGGCTCAAGCGTTGTTTAGTTTATAGAAAAGAACAATAAAACAAGCCCCAAGAAAGTTCAAGAAAGACAATGGTAAGATGAGAAAAAAAAAATTACGATGCTCCAAGAAGGCCTCATCAATCCTGCCTCCTGGAGCTCATACCTTTGCATCGACCCCTTCCCTGTCCAAGATGGTGGCCTGTGTAACTAACAGAATGTTCCAGAAATGTTGTTCTATGACTGCTTAAGCCACATCACAGAAAATCTTGGCCATTGGTGCTTGCTCGTGACAATTGCACATTCTAAAACTTTCAGAAGTTATGTTCTGGATTTATTTGTTGATGATAGCTTGTACAACCAGTGACACAGAATATCTACATATAATGTAAATATTCAGTAGTAGCTACGTCTTTATTCCTTAAGATTAAAGATA